CAGGGTGGGGCCCGCCCGCACCCCTGCCTCCCCCGGGGCCGGCCCTCTCCCCTCCCGCGGGAAGGGCTCCCTCCAGCCCCCTGCGCGGCCCTTCCTCGCTCTGCTGCTTCTGGTTTCCGTCAAGCAAGTAAGAGCAGTTTTTATTATTATTATTGTTATTATTATCAGTTGTACATACTTTCTGATTACAGAAGCAATTCAGGCCTCTCGTAGGCAATTTGGAAAATATAACACGGTGTTAAGACAATAATGATTCACCATAATCCTGGCATCCAGGGGTAACCGCTGTTAATATTTCAGCATATTTTCCCCAAATCCTTTTTCTATGCATTTTTTTTACATCGCCGAAATGGTGATGTGTAAAACATTTTGCATCCTGATTTCCCCTTTCCATCGTATTATAAGCTTTTCCCATGCCAGTGTGAACTCTGTAAATGGCATTTAAAATCTCTGCGTATATACTCCTGGCTGCTTTTATCACTCTCACGTTTTCTTTTCTTTCCTCTTATTATAAAAATATAAGCTGTTCATAGTTTAAAAAAGTAAACTTATAAAATCCAAAGTATAAATACAGATGACAGCTCACTGTAATGCCACCACCCAGAGCTCAGCCTCATTCACATTTTAGGGCTCGTGCTTCCAGACGTTTCTTACCATTTACTTATATATAGTTTTTCTTTTAACAAACAGGGTCTTACTATAAATATTATCTTGCAATCTGCTTTTTTCCTAAACAAAATGCACTAGTAACACAGGCTAACATTTTTTTTGAACACTTACTATGCTAGGCGCCTCCCTTATATGACTTCACGGCAAGCTCTCAGCAATCCTGCTAGGGGAGGTCTTTAATCCCATTTTACAGATGAGAAAACTGAGTCTCAGGGCGGTTGAATATTCTTCTACATCAGTAAATGTAGCTCCGTGGCATGAGGTTTAAGGGCTTCAAGGATGTGGTCTAAGCTGTGTAACCGTTCTGTTTAGTCGGGCATTCTGGTAGCTTGTCTTATCTCATCCAAGGAGCTGAGCCTTTTCAGGATTCCATTTTTATACTGGGCCATGATGAGAAGAACCCCAAATCCATTCATCTGAGTAAAGACTTGCCTTCGGGAATGTTCTCGTATTCCTTTGGTCCATGGGCAGCCTTGGAGTTCTAAATCCCTGCTGCCCCCTAGAGGGAGGGCTGGGGTGCCAGCTGTCAGGTGGTCACCTGACCAGGCTGTCTGTGGTGCTGGCCCAGGACCAAATAGGCAGAAACCCCCCAAAATTTCTACACCCCAGTTATCTCAGAGCTGCCTTCAAGCCTCATAGCAGATTGTAGCCGTGAGCCCAGTCAGTGGTTTCATGGAATCCTTGCATGGTGGCAGCAGCCCCATGGTTAGTGACCAGAACATTTCGGGGGGGCAGGTGGCCCTGGCCTGCCTCCTACCCCAGGACTTAATCGGCCAGTGGTGGGGCCATTGTTGGGAAAGTTGACGCAGAACCCTAACCCTTGCTTCGGTTCTCTGTCTCATAGAGAACTGATTCAGCTAAATTATCTAGGTTTGCTCACCTTCTATCCACAACTGTGTATTAGGAGCCGAGCACTGCTGAACTTGCATTTGTCATAAGTCACCTTGCTTGAACCCTGCAGCGAGCCTCTGAGAAAAGTATTATCACTGAACCCGTTTTACAGACGGGGAAATGAAGATTCACAGGAGTTAAACGATCACCAGTGATGGTGTAGCTCAGGAGCAGTGGAGACGTTCGTATTTGAGGAGATGGCATCTTCCTTCCTCAGCATCCCTTGGAAGCTGTTGACATTCGAGTACTTGTATGTCAAAACAGCAGACTCTGCGGGGCCTCAGGCCCTTTGCTCTGGGACTTGGGACTTTCATAGTCAATCATGTGCCTGTTAACATGTCCCCTCCCCCTCTGCCACCCAGTCTGTTTTCAGAGCCTCTCTGTCTGTCTGTCCGGCAGTGTGTCTGTAATCCTGATGGCCCCCCTCTGGGTTCTCTGTCTTAAAGCCCACACTCTTCTCCTCATGTTTACGTTGTAAGACATTGTGCAGACTTTCGTGGTGAATTTTGCTCCTAGATGTTTTCCCTGCATGGATTATAAATGACCGTGGTGTGTTTTCTGGCAGGAAGTCTTCATAAAAATCCACTTAATGAGAAAGTCTCAGGGATAGTTTTGTTTCTAAATTCAAGCAGGGAAATAATGTTATTGCCTCCTCCCTCCTCCCATCCTCACAACTCATTTAAGCTAATTAGCAGTTGCTTGGGCACCAAAAACACACAAACTCTTTAAGGTTTTCAGAGAGTGAATCTGTGGCTTCTCCATGCATTGCTGATGGGATTGTAAAAAGGTACATATTTTTAAGTTAAAAATTTTTTCGGCGAGGATGGATAGTTTGGCAGTACATTATCAAACCCTTAAAAAATGTATACTTTATGACCCAGAGATTCCAACTCAAAGAATTCCTCCTAATAAATATGCACTCAAGTGTTTAACTCTGGATATTTTCATTACAGCATCATTTATAATAGCAAACAGCTAAAGCAACGTAGCTGTCCAAAGCCGGAGAATTTAAAAAATAAATTATGTCACATGCATCCCTAGAAAATGATGTAGCTGTTAAAATGGTGTTTTAGGAGAATAGCACTTAAAATGGAAATATATTGACTATACATCTTCTAGTGGAAAAGAGGCTACAGAACAACATGATTATTTCCTTTTCGGTTAAAATAAAAAAGGCAGGGGTGCATGTGTGCAGAGATGATCATTTCTGAGTTATGTCCTTGTGATTTTATCTTCTCCCTTTTTGCTTATCTGTAATTTTAATTTTATTCACAATGAAGCATATTCCTTCTGTAACAAGTAATATTAGAAGATTTATTTAAAGCAAGTCAACAGAGGCTTCTTTTTTTATTTCCCTGAATCCCTTCTCAGCCACGTTAGTCATTGATGCTGTTACCTGAGCAAGAAAAGGTGGAATCAGAATGGAGCTGGACCTTCCCAGTCAGGAAGCGTCCACTGGTCTATGTCCCTCCCTCGTCACCATGTTTGGACCTGGCTGTGATTGAACTTGGATTTGCCTCTTGTACTTTTGGTGTCTTTATGATGCCTACCTGGGAAGACAGTCTGAGTTTGTCTGGCTCTCCTACGCTGACCAAATTCAGTGTTTCTACTGTTTTGTATTGTTTTCTGTTTTCGAGCATGGCCCTTAGTCATGGCAAAGAGCACGGGGACAGGAGAAGGCTAGTCCAGGGACAGCTCACATGGAGGACTGATTTTATCGTCTCTTCCTCAGCCAGGTCCCAGTGAGGTCCCCAAGAACACACACAGCACTCTATCCGAGAAAGGGTTTTACTTTTGTGACTTTAAGCTGTGTGTGTGTGTGTGTGTGTGTGTGTGTGTGTGAGTGTGAGTACCTTTAGGTGGGGTGTGTCCCCAGTTTCCAGTGGGCCACTCCACTCCCTGTGGTTATGCCTGTCCTACTTCATTCTTTCAGGTCACCTACCTGGCCAAGAAAGCATTTGAGTTTGTTTCCCCTCGGAAGATTCTGGAAGCTTACAATTTGTGTATCAACTTCTCTGCTAAATTTATAAAAACAATATAGAGTTATTTATGGTCAAATTAGGATGTAAAACATCCTAATGTGTTGACAACTTTTATCTTGCTCTGTCTTGGGCCATAATGCAGAGAGATATATTATTAATGGAGATTCAAAACTCATTGGAAACTGAAGTCAAGGGATAAATGCCAATTATTTCATATCATTATCACCATTATTATTATTTATTGGCTAACATGTTTCCCAAGTGGTATGCTAACGTACCCCGGGGCACTGCTGAGAATTCACGGGGGTGCTGTAAGATATTTCAGATTTTCAAGGGAAGCAGCACTCCCTGACATCTGCCAGACACTATGTGATTTACTAGCTCGAGGCAGTTTATGGTTTCAGCATTATACCATGCTGCATTCCTTTCGATGACGTGTTTTTGCAACCCTGGTTCTTCTGAAGTTGCTGTGATAAACAGCAAATACTGCACAAAAATCAGTGGAACAAAGGTGGTGGTGTCCAATCTCAGTCCCGGGTTTGAGAAGTTGTGCGATCCCCTGTAGGCACTAAGTTGCTAGGACATAGGTACTTACTAAGTTGTCTGGACCTACCTACTTACTAGGTGGGACTTTAGATACTTCCTTTGGCTTAGGGGTGCTGTGGAATAATTATTGAGACACCAAAGGCACCAGGAATTGAGAAAGTTTGGGACCCTCTAGTCTAATGATGACCACACAGTTCTTCAAAAAGTTGGCTGTGTGAGTCCCTGGAAGAAATGCAGAGAATTCCTCACAGACCCCATCATGGATGCTATAGTATTGGGGGGTGCGGCGAGCTGGGCAGAGGGGCGTGCAGATTGAGTGAATTACTCAGAGGTGAAAACTGGCTACGGTTAAGCTCATAGGTTTGTTTTTTTGCTTGTTGGTTGGCTTTGTTTAAGCTGTGTGTGTGTGTGTGTGTGTGAGTGTGAGTACCTTTAGGTGGGGTGTCTCCCCAGTTTCCAGTGGGCCACTCCACTCCCTGTGGTTATGCCTGTCCTACTTCATTCTTTCAGGGCACCTACCTGGCCAAGAAAGCATTTGAGTTTGTTTCCCCTCGGGAAGGGAAACAAAGCCCAGGGCCAACTGCTTAACAGGTCAATCTTAGCCCAGGCCACATATTTAAACCCTCCCATGGTCATGTCCCTCCTGCCCTGCTCCAGCCCATAACTGTGCCTCTGTTTCTTAGCTGGGAGATGAAGGGTGTGAGGACACTAACTCAGCCCCTACTGGGGCCTGGCAGTCAGAGAGGAAAGGCATATCTTAGCCCTCACAGCACGTATGGGGTAGTGAAGGTGACAGACAAGTGACTCACTGATGACAGCACAATGTGATGGGCCCTAGGAATCAGTCGTGTGCGGGTTAAAAAACACTAGAAAGAGGGGCTACCAGCCCAAGACTTCAGTAAGAGAGATGGTCAAGTATGACCAGGGCTCATTAGGCTTGAGTTGAGCCTTGAGGGGTGACTAGGGCGTGGCCAGGTGAAGACGAGGGTGGAGGGGGTGGCAGCGGGGAGTGCAGAGATGCGAAGTCATGCAAGCGCGGGACTCCGGTGCAGAGGCTTGGGGCTGGGGTGGCCGAGTTAAATCTTGAGTCAACAAGGCCAAGAGGGCAAGACTTTAGGCAAGAGTGCCCTGTGCTCAGGCTGCCCTGTGGACCTATCGCTCTGGAACAGTGTGAAGGGGAGACAGTGGCCAGGCCAGAGGTGGAGGAAATGGGAGGCAGGTGTGGACAGAAGGGAGATTTAGGACAAATCTGGTGCCTGTGCAGATGTGGGGGTAAAGAGGGGGGAGAAGAAGACAGCTCCTGGTTTCTGGTTTGTGACTGAGACGACAATAATGCCAATACTGAGCCACTAGGGAAAGAGCCTGTTTGGAAGCATAGGATGACTTAGCTTTTTATGCAGCCAATATCTACAGTTGACCCTTGAACAATATAGGTTTGAACTGCGCAGATCCACTTATCCGTGGATTTTAAAAAATAAATACCTGCACTCTTTTGATCCGCAGCCGGGGGTCCAAGGATGTAGAGGGCCGACTGTATGCATTGATCCACACCATTTTATACAGGGGACTTGAACATCCGCAGTTTGGCATCTGCAGGGGGTCCTGAAACCAGTCCCCTGAAGACACCAGGAGACAACTAAGTTTTGGGGAGTCAAAAGTTATACATGGGTTTTGACTGCATGGGGCACGGTGTCAGTACCCCTAACCACGTGTTGTTCAAGAGTCAACTGTCTTTGCCTTCTCTTGAGCAGCTTCTAAGTCCTTTAAAGCAGAGAATGTGTCCTACTCACTTTTGTATCCCCTTCAATTCCTCCCTAATGCAAAACCTGGCACACAATAAATGCCCAATAAAAATGAGTAAATTGAAGAAGAAAAATTCCCTTTTAAAGCCAAAAGAAGTGGTACAGATACACAATTAGAAATTGTTAGACAACCCACTTACCTGGAAGGCCCCAAAAGTATACTCTATGTATCTAAGGTTCTATAGGATGAGACAGTTAATGCCAGAAAGAAAAAAATGCCAAAGCCTCGGTCCAATAGCAGAGTATCTGTCTTCTTTCCACTCTGGACCCACAGGCATGAGGCAGGGGTTGTGCAGGCCCCTGCAATTCCTCTGGCCCTTCTCTGACACATGATTGAGTTGTCTTAGTGCTTTGCTCCTCTGTTTGAAATCCCCATGGTCTTAGAAGCAGGCAGCTATTAGTTTAGTAGGGTGTAAAAATTCAGGGTGAACATATTGCATCCTTTTGAAATGTCAACCTGACTTGAAGACTTTGAAAAAAATAATCTTTCATAGTTGTATTAAAACCCATATGATTAGAATATGGAATAAATGCACAATTTATATGTATCTTTTAAATAGAATATAAGATGTCAAGGAAATCCTATTTCTTGGTGCAGCCTTCATGGGCACTTCAGCAGAAGGTTCGAGAATGATGGTATGAGAAGATCACAAGACCACTCTGCTTGCAGCTACTAGAGGATCACCATAGTTTTTTTCTGCTCAGGTTACAGGATCTCTCCTTGAGGAGACAACTCGAAAGTGGGCTCAGTACAAGGAGAAGTGCCTGAGAGACTTACTCAAAGAACCTTCTGGTAAGCACACGTATTAGTTATTCATGGCTGTGTAACAAATGGTCCCAAAGGTTAGTGGCTTAAAATGATAATAATAATCATTTTCTATGTCTCACAGTTTCTATGGGTCAGGAATTTAGACCAAAAACATTGGCAATGGCTTGTTTCTGCTCTACGATGTCTGGAGTGGGGTTGGAAGACCCAAAGGCTGGGGGGAAATCATGTGATGTCTTGTTCACACCCGTCTTTGGGTTGACACCAGCTCTCAGCTGAGAGTGGAACTGGGAGTGCTGGCCAGAAAACTTCCACATGGCTTCTCCACGTGGCCTGGGCTTCCTCACAGCATGCTGGCTGGGCCCCAAGGACAAACACACCAGAGGCCAGGTCGCCTTTTGGGACCCAGCCTCAGAAGTCACTTTTGCCATGTTCAGTTGATTGGATAGTTACAAAGGCTTGCCCGGGTTCCAGGGGAGAGACCCCCATCTCTCACTGTAAGAAAGCATATGAGATGGGATACATATACTGGTGGCCATCTCTGGTAACAACCTCTGTCACAGCACACTCACTGCCTAATCACACAACTTGAGCAACTGTCATAGATTATTAACCTGGGAATCTATTGAGTGTGTACTGGGTGGGGGTCCTCAGTCTCCCAGGGTGTTAACTGAAGCAGAGTCATGACATTTCTCTTACCCAGGTCTACACTAGGTTCAGAGCATTCTAGCAAATTTGTTAGTAGTTTGGTCAGTCCATGGCCTCTTCTGCCCATACACTGGCTCTTTGGGTGTGTCCAGATTCCCTCTCTCCTTTTTTTGAGAACACACCCATTGGCTCACTGCCTCTGAACACTGGAGACTGTGGATGAAAGCTGCCCCCTCCTTGTTTTCTTGGCTTCTTCCAGGTCATTTCATTCGGGGCCCTGGAGGGTGACGAGACACTATAAACTCTCTTCCTTTTCCTGACCAAAGGCAGTGCCAACCTTCGAGCCACAGCCTCTCCCCGAACGATTCCTTCAGCCCAGGCAGGCAGCAGTCAAGGCTTGATCTGTTACAAGAGCCATCTCCCACTTCGGGGAGCACTGCTTTCCGAGTCGATGTAGAGCAGGGCCTCTTCAACTGGAGCCTCGCTCGAGCAGCTCAGCAGCGCCTCACACAGATGCGGTGCCCACACCTGGCAGCCAGGTCCCCGAGGGGCCTGAGCCAGCTCCTAAGCCCAGCAGATCTGTGTTTTCTGGGTTCCAATGCCAGTGACCTGGCTGTTTTCCCCGAGTTCTAGCCTAGTAGGGAGCAGACGGTGGGGCATGATGCTTGGTTCCTGGGAGTGAGGAGCATGTGAAATAGACATTTGGGCTCCATTCTGAAACTCCTTCATTTGATTCCGGGAGGCCTATAAGGCTGGGGTTTCTGTGTGTAGCTTCTCATCACCAAGCCCTGGGGTGTACACTCTCCCCTGAGCTCTAGATGTCCCAAATATTTCATAATGATCAACAGATGGTATTCAAATGGAGAAATATGACCAGGTAGTACTGTGTCAGGTACATATGACAAAAGACTTCAATCCTGTAGATGCCCTTATATCCACTGGTCCTTTCGCCCACTTCGCAGTAAGGGTGTCCCAGGATCTAGTTGGTGAAGGGTTGACAACTATTTCGTTAATTATGGAGCAGAAGGTGCTGGTTGAACCTCCAAGTGTCCTCCTGACCCCGAGTTTCTGTGAGAGTCAGTTCATGTAAACTAAACCAAAGTCAGCGTGACGCGCACTGACGTAATTGGCAGGACCGCTGCCAGAGGTCAAGTTGGCTAGACGAAGCCACAGTGCTCGGGCCGCATGGAACATCCCGTCCTGCGCACACTGCTCTCCGGCTCTGACCTGTCTGCACAGTGGGATGCCCATGCCGGTCCCTGCCAGGAAGGCGGCCGGGCTCCCGGTGCCCTGTCTCCGTCAGCGGGCCGGGGCCCCAGCGTTGTCGTTCACTCGGCTGTCTTCTCTCCGCAGGCACATTTTGTAACGGAACCTTTGATCAGTATGTCTGTTGGCCACATTCTCCTGCGGGAAATGTCTCCGTCCCCTGCCCTTCCTACTTACCTTGGTGGCGTGAAGGTAATGTCTTCTTTTACCAGTTCCTGGCAGCTTCCTTAAGGGCTGGGCCCTCCTGGTAGACCAGCCAGGGAGCAGTTGGAGAAAGGGCTCCAACCAAGAGCTTTTCTCAAGTCTCCTTCTGCCATAAAAGGTTTCCTTCTGAGCCGTTGGTGGTACGTGTTCCTTCTCTCGGCTTCTCCTGTCTCCCTGCAATTCTTCTGTGCCTGGATGTTCTATTAATATAATAGCCCTCTTTTCTTTGAAATGATAGGGTCCAGGCCCGGCTCCCACAGCATTTGCTGCAGTGAGGGTAAGAATTACCACCATCGTGCAGAGGAGGAAGAGGTGGGGGCGAAAGATGGGTGCTCACATCCGTGCAACTTGGCCTGTCAAATAAAGAGGGAGGACAGCAAAGCCACCCTTGCAATAGCATCGGCAGGAAATGCCAGTGAACTGGCGTTTTTAAGCCCCGTGGGACTTGGATGGAGAGTTCAACCACTCTGCTTGCCCTGATCCTGCTTAAAGGAAGTGACTGTTAGTCAGGACTTCAGGATACTATCCCACCCCCACCTGCCCAGCAATCAGCCTCTTAGTTGATTCACTGGAAGGAGAGAGAAACAATTACTGGTTCGAACTTCTTTGCCTTTGACCAAAGACCATGAACAAATCTAAGAACAGGTGAAATCTAGAGAACTATTCTCAAGAAACACAAGCAGTTACAAAGTTCCAGGCAGAGCAAAGTGAGAATGGGTTTCTGAGAAGGGGAGATGGTGATATTTCATATTTAATTTCAGCCCAAGAAATGATCACATCAGGGAAAATTTGGTTTCAGTTTTTTGAGACCTCTAGTGCAAAGAGAGACTTTTCAAGGAAGATGCATTTCTGGGTGGGAGTGCTCATGAAACTGTTCCCCGGGGAAACCCAGCTGGAATCAGCCCAGGAGACATGAGGATGTGAGGTTCAAGGGAAGGCGGAAGGGAAGATACTAGAGAGTTTGCTGGACTTGAGTGTTCAGCTCAGTGAGAAGTAAAGAGCACTGGACATGGAGTCAGGAGCTCTGAGGTTAGACCCCATCCCTCTATTCTACAGTCAGCCTTTTGGCAAATTGCCAGAGCCCTCTGAGCTGTGGTTTTCTTGTCTATAATAGCAAAGGTCATCCTGAGGAATAAATGAGAAGGCACATACCGAGTCCGTCACACAGTAGGTGCTTCATAAATGGGAGCTGAGGCTGAGACTGAGCCCCGGCCCCTTGGACCCCTCCAGGTCTTNGTACCGAGTCTGTCACACAGTAGGTGCTTCATAAATGGGAGCTGAAGCTGAGACTGAGTCTTGGCCCCTCGGACCCCTCCAGTTCTTTAAGGCCCCACATGTGCTTGGACTCCTCAGGGCCACGTGGAACAGGCCACCACCACCAGCCCCACCTTCTCCTGGTCCTTCCCAAGAGCTAAAAACAGGTTCATTTCACTTTAGGGGGAAAAGCAGTCACAAATTCAAACTTATAAAGAAATGTAGTTAAGGCTCAAGAAAATGAGTTGTGGGCTTCTTGAGTGTACTAAGAGGAATGTGACTTGAAAAAGGTGGGCAGTTGTATTTCCACGCAATCTTTTTTGTGTTAAATCTTTAGAATCCCGATGGGCTCCTGCAGTAAAAGGGAAATGTGGAGCCAGTAGAAGGATGTAGAAAAGTAGGGATGGAGGGGCACTCTCTTGAGATACGATTAGAGGCANCTGGAGGAGCACTCTCTTGAGATACAATTAGAGGCAGGAACATTGTACTATGAGAAGGGGGCCTTTGTAACGGTGGGTACAGGCTGTAACTGCGTGTAAGGCTGAGGCTGAGGCTGGACCTGATTGTGCAGGAAACTGTACGTTATGCTCCGAGTGTTTAACTTTCCTTTGTAGAAAAAGATTATGTGGAGCTGCTGAAGGTGTTGAGGCATGAGAAGGACATTTGCGGTGCAGGGAGCTGACGTTGGTAGCCTGTGGCTGTTGGACTGAGGCGTGGGGTGGGGGCGTCGGGGGGGCAAGTCTGCAAGCTACTTCAGTGGTTCAGAAAAAGAGATGGTGAGGGTGTGGATTCAGGTTGGAGAGAAGAGGAGAGTTAAAAAATACTGGCGGTTGGACAGTCAAGACTTGTCATCAGGTGAAGTGGGTACTGAGGGACAGAGAGGAGTGAGAAATGGAGAGAAAAGCACCCTCACATTCCACCCGCCCCCCATCCAGCTAGTAGCCAAGGCCCCTGGCCCCCCTTCCCGCC